AGTAAGTACATATGATATTTGTCTTTCTGTGTTTGGGTTACCTCACTCAATATTATGTTTCCTAGATCCATCCATTTGCCCCAAAATTTCAAAATGTCATTATTTTTTTCTGCTGTGTAGTACTCTATTGTGTAAATGGAGTACACATTTTCCTTATCCATTCTTTGGTTGAGAGGCATTTAGGTTGTTTCCAGGTTTGGGCTATGACAAACAATACTGCTATTAACATAGCTGAGCACATGTCCTTATGGTATGATTGAGCATCCATTCGGTATATACCCAAAAGCGGTATGGTATTACTGGGTCTTGAGCTAGGTTGTTTCCTAATTTTCTGAGAAATCACCATACTGATATCCAGAGGGGCTATACCAGTTTTCACTCCCACCAGTAATGCAGGAGAGTTCCCTTTACCTCACAACCTCTCCATCACAAGTTGTCATCAGTGTTATTGGTCCTGGTCATTCTTACAGGTATAAGATGTAATCTCAGAGTTGTTTTGATTTGCATTTCTCTTATGGCTAAGGATGTTGAGCATTTCCTTAAGTGTCTTTCAGCCATTATAAACCACATTTTATTCAATATACTTGAGGTTTACAAAATGATGTTACAGAATGTATTATAAAATAACACATCTGTTATAGCATAGTTAATTTTGGTAAGAAAAGTCCCTAAAATATGTTGATATGTAATTAAGTTGTGTGTTCGTCTTAGAGTAGTGAACAGTGGACATAGGAATCCACATATCTTTGTGAGGGTAACTTAAGAATGATGAACTCTTCAACAAAGTTTTGAAATTATTAGTTAATTACAATATGGCCATTCCGTTGTCCCTTTAGCCTCTAAATGTGTAACAAGCCAGACAAATCATCCTACCAGTATTTCTCACCGATTGAATCTCTGTATAATGTGTTTGATTTGTCTGGATTGCTTCATGAGGGCTAATTTATTATAGAGTGCTCACTATTCTATGATGATGTATTGTCTTTATTCCATATGGAGTGGACAGATGCATAATTGCTTCTATGCCATCATGCCTTATAAAAGTTGACAATGAAGACATTTGTAGCTAGAGTATATTGCTTACTTTAAGCTCTTTTTACTGTAACTGGGACAACCCAGCAAAGAATTAAGCATAAAAAATATATTTTATTGCAGAGGGTAGAGATGTTCTCACCTCAGTTAATTAGGGAGTACAGTGAAATCATCGAGATCTAAATTACTGCTACCATGTGTCTATCACATGGTACCTTTTCCTCTTGGTTACTAGAGTTTTGTTGTGGTTCCACATGTCTGGAAGCTTCCATAAGATTAAGGAGAAAGTTGAACATCGTTTTCTTATCTCCATGTATTTGGTAGACATACTCTTCTGCCTAGTGGGGGAAAATCACAGGACATTTTTCCCACTGAGCGAGAATAGAGCTACTGTGTTGGGCTCGGTCCATCATGCTTTGCTTCTGAAGCTAGGGTTGGGACTAGTTTCTTTTAGTAAGGAGGAAATGGGGAATAGCCAGTCAAATGGACACAGTGTCTGATACCATAGGAGGAACTTGATAGTAAGTTTTGGTAAAAGTAGGCAAGGAGTAAAAACAAGGGAAAACTGTGAAAACAATAAATAACATTAATGTTCATCTCTTTAATTTATTGGCAAGAAAAGAAGAAATATAACTTAATTGTGCCATCTAAATGGTTTCTTCTTCTGGTAAATTATCCTCCTGCTGTTGAAGAAGATAATTGTTCTATTTGTATATTAGAGTCCTGCTAGCTTAATAGATCCCTAATGAAATTGGCAGAGGGTTTGTATTTCATTATGCAACTTTATGTACAAAAGTGCTTATTACAGATACCTTTATGTGTTTACATGCATTTCTGTTTTATTTCATTTTATTAAATCAATACCATCAAAAATTTGAAAAGGAAATTGTTGCCTGTGGAACTTTCTTTTGCTATAGTCTAACATCAGCGTTTGGAACCTTATTCTTTTTGATTGATTAGTTAAATAGCAAGAAGAATTTGTGATCAGATTGTCAGTGCTTTCAATTTCAATGTGTGCTTCTTATTTTCATGAAAATTAAAAACAAAGTTCTATCTAAGCCCTTGGAGAAAATGCATAAGATCAGGAGAGTGAGATGCAATGTCTTAATGAATCCTGGAAGCAGAAAACAGGAGAGAGAAAAGGTGGATACAGCATAAACTAGGTAGTATATGCTTGACCAGTGGTTGATGAAGAGGTGATCAAGGAAGGAGGGAAGAATCCAAAAACAAAAATCCAAAAGAGAGGTGAGTTCTGTGTTGTGTCACTAAAGAGGTCTCATGTCATTGAGGTAGAACAAGAGGAAAGGTGTCCATTGAACATCAGCCTTCCTCCTTTGCTCTTCCCCTGTCTAGACTTTCTTCTCACTCTCCAGTCCTTCAAAAACAATGCTTGGATAATACTTAGATGGTTTTCCAGGTCCTATTGTGCCCTGTACTGAGCTCTATTACACACAGTTAGGGGATTGTTTGTGTTCTTCTTGGAAACTGGCCTAGACTGCTGCCCTAGTCTTCTGTCTCCAGCATACAGTGTCTAGATACATGACTAGTCTACACCCAACTATGAATGGATTCCTACACTTTTTTCCCGTAGGTCTGAATCTGAAGAAAGTAACCCTAAAATACATATTTCCTTGATTATCTTCAGATTTTTATTTAAAAAGGACTTTTGAGTTGGAAGATGCTTTTGGATTTCTAGGTTGAGTGGCAGCATTAATGCCTTTGGTTAACAGCCTCCTTTCTATCTTGTCTTCTGAGCGGTGACTTTGCAAACTTTCCAGTCAGGAGATGGGACCCTTTTCATTACTTTGTATTCTCTTTTGCCAAGAGAATGGAGGAGGGAAAGCGCTGATCCAGTTTGCATTTTAGTTCTCAAAAGACTTGTCACTACACTGTTCTTTTCTGGAGTCTTTTCAACGGCTGGTGAATAATCTTGAGTTATTTTATGAGAGTTGAATTATTACAGAGGCAAAAGTCTACTTATGCCATTAGACATTACTCTGGACTAGGCTTACCTATCTAAATCCCAACCAGAGCACCATGCGGAGCCTTTATAATGCTTTACTCTTGTTAAATATTTTTCATGCAATTCCAGAATTTCTTACCTTCTTTTGAATGCACAATGTGACTGCTTCATATGGATGCATACCTCTTTAAAAACTCTTTTCTTAGTCCTGTTTCCTCCATGGAAAAATTCAGAGAATTTTGTTTGTCACGATTTAAATTTAGCCTACATATCCATTTTCCAAAAAACTAATCTTATTTATGATTTCAGATACATGAAATATATGTAACCTAATAGTTCAGAGACATATATTTATAGCTACTATCAATTTATCTACATTTGCAATGTCTACTAAATAAATTTCAATTTTACATTAAACTGAATTATTCTGATTCTATACGATGATAGTCCTATCCTATTTCCATTTCAGAATTTATTGTTCTTGAAGATAATAGGTTATATTTACTTTTTGTCTCCATTTTCTTTTCACTGAGGCTTAACTGTAAAACTTGGATTAAGGAAAGTATTTTTAAAATGAATTTGTATTTCCATTCTTCTACTTAATAGCATTTAAATTGTTTTTGGCTACCTTTGTGCAAAGACCTGATAAAAACAACTTAAATAGGATTTTCTTTGGTTGGTAATTTCCTAAACCTCAGTCCATAGTTGATAGTCCACATGTGCTTGGGTAAATCATTGTGGCAGAGAAGACACATTTGTGTGTGTGTGTGTGTGTGTGTGTGCGCGCGCACGTGTGTGTGTATGTGTGTGTACATGCACATGTATTTGTTTAAGTGTACATGCACATTTGCCATCATGTGTATATGCCAGTGGTTTACTCCTAAAAAAGGAAGCAGAAACAGAAGCATACCAAAATGGACCAAGAATGAGGTACTTCCAAGGAACTACCACCAGTAATCATTTTTTTTCTATCTAAGTTCCAACTAAACTCCAACTCCTAGTTTCTAGAATGTAGCAAAAATAACACCAGTATCTGAAGATTAATGTTTTATGCATGGGTTCCTAGATGACAAAAAAACAACCCTGGGTCACGGTTATTCATCCATCACAAGTATTTTCAATCTGTTCACAAGTATTTTAATCACTATAAGGATAAAACTATTGCTGTTGGTCTTACTAACACAAGTCTGTACTGTTTGAATTATTTACAATTTAGGAGACAGAGAGACACTATGCTTATAAACAAGTGAACAGAACCTTTAAATTACATAAGGCAAAAAAAAGATACTGGTATAACTGCATCTTTGAATTCATCTTATACTGAGATAAATGAAAAGAATTTGTAACCACTCTCCAGAATGAAGGTGTAAATGCTCCTTGCATTACAACCTATGAGGCAACTCATGTGGAGGAAAAAGGAGGATGCTTTAATAGTAAAAAGAGGCAGCAGACAGCTCAGAGGTTGTGACAGAGAAAGTCAATATGGCCACCCCATATGTTGATTTTGCAAACTTAGGACATATTTAGATGCCTCTGTGATTGAAATGAAGTTCTCAACCCCAAACAACCAAAAATATGGGGAAGATCAAAGCCAGTATAGTGCAATTCAGTCTACAAACAGATATTGACTAAGAAATATAGTATTATCACTTTCATGCTTTTCAAATAGTATTATTTGTAATGTGACTACCATTATGACTCTACAGTCATTTAAAAATGTACAAACATAGACATGTAAGACCATTTATTTATTTCCAAAATAGTACTTAATTTCTAAACAAAGCAAACAGTGAATTAAGAACAAGTATACTTTTTTTCTGAGGCTATGAACAATAAATTAGGATAAGTTATCAGAATTAGGATAAGTTAACAGAATGAATGTTAAAATGTGACTGAGTGGGTGCAGATGAAGAATCTGATGAAACTCAGTACTCATTTATAAAGCTCAATAATAAAAAAATGATCTAGGGGAAGAAATGAAATTTCATGTAGTTAGCAAGCATAGGAAGACTTGCTTAAGTTTGTAGTATTAGAGAGCACAACTTAAAAATGGGCTATTATTTTATACTGGTCTAATAAATTGGTCTAATGAGCAAATACTAGAAAACAGGGTATATGCTAAATAACAGTAAGAACTGATAAGAACAGATACTACACTTGATCTTAGCCAAAAGGCCGAGAAGTTGGGAGCTCACCAAGGCCAGCTGGACTGTGACTGAAAAAGCATGGGATAAAACCGGACTCTCTGATCATGGCAAACAATGAGGACTGATGAGAAGCCAAGGTCAATGGCAAGGGTTTTGATCCTACTTCATGTTCCGGCTTGGTGTGAGCCTAGCCAGTTTGAATGTTCACCTTCCTAGACATGGACGGAGAGGGGAGGTCCTTGGACTTTCCACAGGGCAGGGAACCATGACTGCTCTTTGGATTGGAGAGGGAGGGGGAGAGGAGTGGGGGGAGGGGGAGAAGAGTGGGGGAAGGGGGAGGGAAATGGGAGGCTGGGAGGAGGCGGAAACTTTTTTTTCCCATTCTCAATAAAATAAAAAAAAATTAAAAAAAAATAACAGTAAGAACATGAGGCTATCTAGGGTCCCTCACCGCGGTAGGGTTTGAAGCAGGCATTCCTTGGGGCTTGGTTCTATAGTGCTTCGTCAAGTTAAATGCTGACATTTCTTATAGCTCATGAACTTCTAGATTTTTTTTCCTCCAGAGAAGCATGTTTTGATGCATATGTGCAAAGATATTTGTCATGGGCTGGTTAGTAATAATAGGGAGCTTGAGGCAACAAATGGATGGAGTATGTATGTGTAATACCGTGTTACATTTCAAAACAGTGCCTAGTTAGAGCCAGAAGAGCGAAGATTTTAAAAAGCATGTTGTTGACTGAATGAAGTATAAAGGAAACTTGGAGCAAAGTCACACATTTATTACTCGGAAGGCTGAGGCAGGAGGAATGTGACATTGGGATCAACCTGGGCTAGGTACCAAGACTAAATTCCCAAGCAATGAAAAGCAAGAAGAAAGAATAAAGTCTATAATATGTTTGTAGATGAAATGTACAGGTCTAGGAATTAGCAACTGAAGGGAAACACAACTAAAATATTAAAATAGTGTCCTGAGGATGGGAGAGAATGAAAAAAAGGGCATGGCAAAGAAAATGAATTTAAAAATAATAAAAAACCTCTTTATAAAGCAAAAGAATAAAATGTAATTTAGTGATGAGCATCACTTCAGAGGTAAAATAAAATATTCATTTCTAAGAGATAAGAATGTGATTGTAGAAATGAACCAGCGGGAACACTGGAATGCAGAGATACCATTTGATGTTGAGAAGTACCATGAAGGAACCAAATCTAATGCTGTCCTATAATGGTTGAGATGGGGGAAGGACCAATTTGGGAGCAGGGAAGAAACTATCTTAATTAAGGGAGCCATTTTAGGATTGGCAAGAGACTTGGCTCTAGAAAGGATTCAAGGTGTCCACGGGGATGTCCCCAGCTAGGACCCTGGGCAGTGGAGGAGAGGGTGCCCGAACTGGCCTTGTCCCATAACCACACTGACGAATATCTTGAATATCACCATAGAACCTTCCTCCCACGATGGCTGGAGATAGAGACAGAGACCCACATTGGAGCACTGGACTGTGCTTCCAAGGTCCAGTTGAAGAGCAGAAGGAGGGAGAAGATGAGCAAGGAAGTCAGGACCGCTAGGGGTTGTTCCACCCACTGAGACAGTGTGACTGATCTAATGGGAGCTCATCAAGGCCAGATGGACTGGGACTGAACAAGCATGTGATCAAACCAGACTCTCTGAATGTGGCTGACAATGGGGGCTGACTGAGAAGCCAATGATAATGGCACTGGGACTTGTTTCTACTGCATGTACTGGCTTTTTGGGATCCTAGTCTGTTTGGGCACACACCTTCCTAGGGCTGGATGGAGCGGGGAGAACCTTGGACTTCCCACAGGGGTGAATGGGGGAATGGGAGGGAAATGGGAGGAGGGGAGGAGGTGGAAATTTTGAATGGTATTATTTATAAAGCAATAAAAAAGCACAAAAAAATAGCAGTGAAAGCATGGGGAAAGAGGGCCACTTCTACAGAGTGGTCATAAAATGACTTTTTGGCCTGGGAAATCAATGTGAGCAGAGACCCCCAGGTTCTGAAGAGCCCAGCCCTGGGAATATATTTGAGAAGTGCCTGCCAGACACACAACTTGGCCTGTTCTGAAAGCTGAAGAGGGGCCAGTGCAGCTGTTGTGCCTCAAACAAGCATGGCAGGGCCAAGAGGAACAAGAACCAGAGGCTAAGGCACATAAAGCCTTTGTTGTTCATTCCAATTACAATGAGAAATCCTGAAGGGGATTAAGCAGATGTTAACAAGATCTGGTTTACATTTTTAATTTCCCCAAGTTTACTCTGCTGCTCTGAGGATAGGATGGATTAGCAGAGGTCAACAGAAGGAGCAGGAACTGACCAGGAGGCTACTGCCACAGGCTGTAGTTGTGACCATACTGCAGCATGCTGTAGTCACAGCAGTGGTTATGTAGAGAGAGTCAAAAGGTAACTTGGAGGTTGAATTGTCTGAAATTCCTGATGGACAGTTTTAGGGTCTGAGAGAGAAGGAAGAATAAACCTCTTGGGTTCTTAGTTTTCCACTTCCTGAGAGAGAAAGTGTAACTGAGCAACAGATTGTGAGAGAAAGTCAAGAATTTCTTATCAGAAAGCCTGTCTGGTTTCTTGGAAGGTTCAAAATAAGGAATGAGATGAAACGTAATCTTTAAACTCATCTGTGAATAGACAAGGTAGCTTTGCAAGTGACTTGTTTCAGCCATTGGAAAGATGAGGCCAGCCAAATAGTAGCTGTGGAGATGGTGAATAAGGGACTCTGTGCAGGGTCTTAAGGAAGACTGTTTAAAAGGAACAAAAGAGATAATTATGGAAGGCAAAAGTGGCTGCAGGTGGTAGGAATAAATGGAATGGTTTTCCTGACTAGAAAACCTCAAGTTGCCAATTCTACTAAACGTTGCCTAGAATGCAGTAAGGATAGAATGAAAAGGCGAGTTTATTAATTTAGCAGCTTAAGTTGCAGCTAAAATTGGGCTGATAGCTCCAGATGAAACCTATTTACACCATGGGAAAGATGGGGCTGGATGAACTGACAAACAAAATATAATGTATATACATAATGGAATCTTACTTGGCTATAAAAAGAATAAAATTATGTTGCTTGAAGGAAAATAAAGGAACTAGATATCATTGTGTTAAGTGAAACAACTCATTTCTACAAAGATATGTTTTGCATAGTTTCCCTTATGTGGGAGCAAGGCAAAAATACAAGAACATAAAACTCAAAGGAAGGCTTGTAGGACTAGGGGAGGGGAATGGTAGATAGTATAGACGGATAAAGTAGAACAATATAAGGTGTGAATATTATCAAAAAATATTAGATGCCTGCATGGAAACACCATTTAAAATTCTGTGCAATCAACATAGGGCAATAAAAATTGTCAACCCCCAGGGATGTTTGTCCCGTAAGGTCCTTTACACATTGGCTCTTAAAGCTGAGCATTCTCTTTCTTCCAACTGTATTTATTCCCTTGTTCTCCCAGGCCAGATAGAATGGAGGTTGTTAGTTTCCTCAGATAGGCTGATTATAAAGCCTCCCATGGCAGGTTGATAATTAGCATCTTGTAAAGCCAATACCCTTGAAGTACTGGTTCAATATGTCGGAAGTAGAGTCTGAAATAATAAAAGGTTTTGTTTATTCCAGTTTTCAGCCCAGCTATGCATTTTCTTATTTATGTAGAGTTGTTCCAGGCATTATGCTATTTAAGAAACTGAGAGCAGAAGTCTGAATTCTTAGTGTCACAGTCATGATTCAGTTTTTTTGATAATTCAATGGCCTTTGCAGGCAGACCCCAGGACATTATGTTAGGTGACTGCAGGGTACCACACAACTTTTCTACCTGAGCTCCTCAGAGTAAGTCTTTTCTTGCTAAATTCTCTCCTATGTGGCCCCATGCTCTCTCCTGTTATATAATTTCTTACAGGTATGTTTTCTCATTCAGTCCAAGCTACATTTATGTCTCTTTCAATATTCTGATCTTGTTTGTTGTTTGTATAATATTTATTTAGCAATTGGTTATGTTTGACTTTTAACTTAAGTTAAATCAGATATTGTTATTTTTATTTACCTAATAAATGACCACTTGCTTGTACCCACACAAACACACAGACATATATACACACAGACATACACATACATACATACAGACACACACCCGGACATACACACACATATACACACATATGCAAACACACACACAAACACATTCATACATACATACACACACACATACACACACACATACACAAAAACACACACACTAATGTTTTTATTAGGGGTTTGTAGGGCTGTTTAGTATTTTAGCTGTCTGTGATCTCTAGATTCCTATTTTGTAAAAAAATTTCCTCTATCCATTTAGTTTCATTTTACGCCAAAAATTTCCAAAATCAATAAGCTCATTTATTCTCACCAAAAAAATATACTCTCCAAACTTTCAGGGAAAACAAAGCACAAAGCTCGCTTCACTTTTGGGAATCTGTGGTCATATGAACCAGCTTCAGAGCTCTCTGTTATTTGCAAATTTTACAGCTGAGGTTGTATCAGCCTCTCCGATTCCCAAATAAAAGCCATTTCTCTGTGAAAGTTTAAAGAGATATTTCTGAAGAGCCCCTAAATATCGGTGGCCAACACAGATTCTTATTGATTACAAAGCAACTAAGTCCCAAACTCTGGTTGTAAACCTAGCAAGGGTTTATAACCTTGGCACAATTAGGTGATTTATATCAAAGGAATTATTTGATCTAGTTTTCAACTTGTGAAGGCATAGTGGTGGTTTGAACGGATGTTTCCAGTATGTCTCCAGCATTTAAATAGCTAATCACCAGTCGGTGGCTGATGTGGAGAATAGGAGGCATTATAGTCTTGCTAGCAGAAGCATTTCACCAGGGGTGGCGACCAGGGATAGTTTTGAGATTCGAAAAGACTCATGCCATTTAGAGTGTGCTCTCTGCTTCCTGCTTGTGGTTTGGGATGTGAAGGAACTCTCAGCTGCTGCTCCAGGTAAGCCCCAAATGAGCTCTTTCCTCTACTGCTTGCCTTGGTCATGGTGTTTTATCACAGC